AGAAATTTATGAAATGAGACCATATATTCCCGTCTAGAAAACAATGCTCATCAATAAGTCCACAAAAAGCCTGTAAAAACAAAAGGCATGGCAATAGGAAGAATAGGAATATCAACTATTAGTTCATGGTCACTTGATCTCACGACATTGCAAATAAATTTGAGGAAGAAACAAAAATATTCAAAGAAAAATATAACCAAACTGCTTATGACCGGTGGAATTTCATAATAATATGAATCCTTAGTAAGTCACCGAAAGTTCCGAATCAAATTTTAAAGAATCTTGCATGTGTAACAGCAGAGTCAAAATTTTGGATAATGGAATGAAAACTTACCTTGGTAACCACATAATCTATAGAAGGTTCAAAACTAGCGGGTGTTTTCTTAGTGATGTCATTAGGAATCTGATCCAAGGAGTAACCAACCGAAAGTTTAGCAGCCATCTTTGCTATGGGAAAACCAGTAGCTTTGGAAGCTAAAGCTGAAGACCTTGAAACTCTAGGATTCATCTCAATCACCATTACCTCTCCATCTTCAGGATTGATGGCAAACTGAACATTTGAACCACCACATTCAACCCCGATTTCCCTGATAATAGCAATAGAGTAATCCCTAAGCCGCTGGTACTCTTTGTCTGTCAAAGTCTGTGCTGGAGCTACAGTGATAGAGTCCCCAGTATGGACCCCCATTGGGTCAATATTCTCAATTGAACAGATAATAACGACATTATCTGCCAAGTCTCTCATAACTTCAAGCTCATATTCTTTCCATCCCAAAAGGGACTTCTCCACCAAAACCTGAGAAGTCAAGCTAGCTGCAAGCCCCGACTTGCATATTGCCTCAAACTCCTCCCTGTTATAAGCAATACCACCTCCAGTTCCTCCCAGTGTAAAAGCTGGTCGAATAATCAATGGAAACTCCCCAATAGAATTTGCTATCTCAAAACACTCCTCCATAGTAGTCCCAATCCCCGAAGGAGGAGTCTTTAGCCCAATATTTTTCATAGCTTGCTTGAATAAATCCCGATCCTCGGCCTTCTTGATTGCTTCGAGCTTAGCCCCAATCAACTCAATGCCATATTTGTCCAGCGCCCCACTTTCAGCCAATGCCACAGCAAGGTTAAGAGCCGTCTGCCCTCCCATCGTTGGCAATAAAGCATCAGGCCTCTCCTTCTCCAGCACTTGCTCAACCAGCTCTGGTGTCATAGGTTCAATATAAGTCCTATCAGCCATCTCTGGATCCGTCATTATAGTGGCAGGATTCGAATTGATGAGGATCACCTCATAACCCTCCTCCCTTAGTGCTTTACAAGCCTGAGTCCCTGAATAATCGAACTCACAAGCTTGCCCAATCACAATAGGCCCTGCACCTAAAATTAAAATCTTTTTGATATCTGCCCTCTTCCCAACTTTTTGGCTACCGAAAACCCCTCCATTCATCGAACCATTGCTATCACAAACAGCACCTTTCTCACATCGAATTGAATTCACCTTCACTCTCCAGTTCAATTTCGCAGAATGCAGAAACAATGGACGGCATTGAAAGTTCAAATGTGATACCACACTCCACTTGGTAGCTGGCTTGGTGGCATTGAAAAATAACTTAAAAAGATTGGAATTTGATAAATGATTTTTGGTGGAGTTGAAACTGTAGGGCTGTGATGATGAAATGAGCCTCAACGAAACGTTTTCACAATGATTGACACAATAGGCCATCTCCCACTATCCCTCCTCCAATCCCTCTTATTTATTCTTTTCCAAATTTCAAATAAACTGCACAACCAGAAACCACATGGCAACAATAATTAATATATATATACATATATTTATGTATCACTCGCAAATAAAATTACAAGAAACCTTACATGCAATATTTCTTGGTGATGATTTTCGCTTTGACCGATCGGCAGCTTATAATATTTGCGATATTCTGCAATATCTTTTGGTTTACTACCTATGTGAATGGTTTCGGAATCTAAGATATAGCTTTGAACAAAGCCTGCTTAGAATTTTTGCACGCTCAAATCCGAACTGGGTGAAGAAGAGCAAAAAACAGAGAGAAAAAGCTTCTTATATCTCGGGAGTGACAGAATCCATGGGTCTCGAGGAGAAGAGAGACCGAGGAGCTGTGATGGGGGGGGGGGGGCGCCTGGGGAAGAGAGAGTTGGGTTTGTGTTTGATTAGGTTTGAGAGACTTTGGGCACTGTTCAAAGAGATGCAACCTAAGTCCTAATCATCGACATGCTTATATATCTATACTATATGTAAAGTCTGAGAAAGTTGTTTGGGCCTTTGGGGTTAGCGTTCGAATTAACATTTATCGTTACTTGTCAACTTTCTTTTTACCCTTATAAAATTTGTTTTTAGTTTAACTACCTACGACTACCTATCATTATTTTTACTATTAACTATTTAACTATATATTTTTAACATAATTACTCATAAATATTATAACTATCAACATAAAATTATTTTATGAAAAATATTTAAAAGATTAAAGTTTGCTTTAGTAATAAAAATTTTATTTAATATATATGACTATAAATATTATGTATTTTTTGATTGCACACAAATTGAATATGCATTGAGCACTAGTGTTAACAATTCCTGATTTTCTTTTTTACTATATATGTTAATAATCCCTAATTTTTTGTTTTTTTTGGGAAGTTGGGGATATCTGGCTTTAGGGATTGCTGGCATTAGAATCTAAGACAAATTACAGGCAGCAGCTAGAGACGAATATCCAAGTGGACTGCTAAAACATGAAGGGATAATTTCAGGATAATTTTAGAAATCTCTCTTAGGTTTCTAACAAAATGACTTAGTACTCTTGAAGTTTAAAAAATAATCTTCTCTATTTTTTAACTTTTATAACATTTACAGTCCAAGTCAAATTATATGATTAAAATATTATGTTTAGGTATTCAGTTTGAGTAACAGTTAAAACCCACTAATTCAAAACTTGGTCCAATTCGATTTTTCGATCAAAGATCAGGTTCAATTGAAAATCGGTAAAAATAGATAAAAATCCAATTTTTTCCCAGTTTGCTTCTTTGATTTGTTTTTTCCCCATTCAGCCTTTTCCTTTGACTGTTCCAAACGAACCTTCACTGATTTTGCTTTGCTAATAGGAAGAAGCATTTCCTCCATTTTTGTGCTGATTTTTTATTTTTTATTATTATTTTTTGCCTTCTGACTTAATTGCATTCGTTACTATATAACCAAACACCAGCCTTGGTGTGAGTTTGTCACAATGTCCTCATCTCACAAAGCCACCATGAGGTCCATGACAGCTAACTCCTTAAGATCAATAAGAAGAAAAAGAAGAGAGAGAGAGAGGAGAGGAGAGGAAGACATTAAACAAGATTTCATAACTTTGTGTGCGTGTATGTGTGAGAGGGTGTGCGTGATTTTGTGAAAAGAAACTTACTGATAGTTTGGAGTTGCAGAGAAATAAGAAAATCACAAGATTTTGGTTTCATTACTTAATGGTATTGAATGCCCTACAAACTTTTGATATGCTATTTCGACCAACTAATTCAAGAAATTATAAATTGGACCATAGATATTCAAAAAATTATTATGTTTCTAGCCCTAATTTCTGGAATTTTTGAGAATCAATTTTTTGTATTAGTGAGAAACTCATCAAATATGTTGAGTCAATGGTAATTTATATATGTTTCATTTTGTGAATAATTCAAAAATATATTTAGAACATGATGACATCATCCGATTAGATTCCGACTTAATCGATAGAATTCATTGATCTCAAATCTCTGATTTTAGCTAAGTCAATGTCTGATTTGAATTTAAAAACATAATCATGAAGTAAAATAATAGTGACAGTACATAGAGTGTGAAAAGATCCATTTATCAAACGGGAGCATTAATTATTTGTAGCCAATCAAATAGAACACATTGCTTAGCAACATTGTAGAATTCAAAAATAGGGTAGAGATGGTTAGCTAAAAGGTTGGCGGCTATAATTTGGCAAAAAAAAAAAAAGTAAGATTCAAATCACATTCTGTACATCAATTTTAAAATCATGTTTGAGTCCTACGAATCTCGAACAAATGAAATGAAGTTACGTCTTGTACGTTTGAATAAAAATTGGCCCCAATAATTTCCCCGGTAGGTAACAATAGTCTTTCATCAGGGCATGTCGCATATGGCAATAGGTGTCGAATTCGTACGCTGTCATGGTCTCGAATTGATATGAAATGTGGTACAGCCTTCTTGTAGTTTTTTTTTTTTTACCGTCAAGCCCATTACAAATTGAGTATGCTATGAGAACTAGCGGAAATGTCGCTAGTCCTAATTGAATGTGCATGACATATGATTCACTTGCACGTCTGACCTTGAGTGAGGTATAGTATAATTTTGAAAATGAAAACTAACGACATTCTGTAATTATGGCCAAAATCAAGATAGAACACAAGAGGAGGTTAGTGTGATTTGATAAACACATACAACAATTTGATATATGGTCTTGTGTTGATCTAAATCTAAGGAAGTTAGTAAATCAACTTCTGCATTTTTTCTTTTTGGGTTGATACCAAACGTCATCATTCATGTATTGACAAAGTTTAAGTGCGATTAGATTAGTTGGCAACTGCATCAATAATACTACTTTATGCCTTCCTTTCAAACCACCTCACATAATTACAAAGGTTAATTTCCCTAATTTCAAATCTTGTCAAATCATGACTGACAACACATTTTCTTCCCTCTTCACAAAAGCAAGGTACAATGCCAAAAGCATCGATGTAGTTAGATCTTTGATATCTCTAACCACAAAATGTCTACCCGCGTTCATCTTGGTTGATTTTGCCATCAGCAACACTTGCACAATCTGAGGCGGGAAACTTGGACGGCTGCCTGAGTATTAGTATTGTCCTAGTGCAAAAAGTAAACCTGCTCTGACTGCAAATGCTTCGAGCGAAGGCTCCTTTGCTCTAAAAGGAATAGCCGGCCCAAGTAGCTACAAGCATCCCAAGTAGTGATGGCAACGGTCCTCCGTCCCCGCCCTGTTGCCGGCTACTTCCCCTGGTCTCCGGTGCCCGCTCCCCTCGCCCCGTCCCGTCCCGCTTTTTCCTGCAAGGTTAATAAAAATTTTCATATAATTTTATTATCATCAAAATTTAGTAAATAATTAAGTATTAAAATATCAACGTATCATCAAATCATTATCTATTGTAATTTTTAATTGAAATCCATAAAAACAATCAAATAAAAACTATTTTGATACAATCTGACATGATGAAACAAACATAACTAAAGTATTCAAGTTTTCACTTTTGAAATAAATACAATAACTAAGTTATTAATATAATTTTTTGGGTTAAAAACAAAAAAATCCCCTACGGTATACTTAATACACAGAAAAACTCCTCATAGTTTCAAAACATACAAAACAACACTTCATGTTTTGAACTAAATTGTAAACACACAGAATTCGTTAAACTTAACGGAATCCGGTAAATTTAACGGAAAACTTAACAAAATCTGGTGTATTTAACAGTAAATTTAACAGAATTCGGTAAGTTTAACGGCCAAGATAGTCATTTTCGTTAAATTTAACGAATTCTGTTAATTTACAATTTAGTTCAAAACATGAGGTATCGTTTCGTATGTTTTGAAACCACGGGAACTTTTCTGTGTATTAAGTATGCTACAAGGGTTTTTTTTTGTTTTTAACTCATTAATTTGAGAAAAAGTGTTATTGTGTTAAGTGTAATTAACGATTTAGTATAAATATATTAGTAAATTTAGTATAGCTAATTAATAATTTCTATTAGTAGACATGTATAATTATTAGTATAATTGATAATATCAATTATATTACATATACTAATATAGATTATGTAATACTTATACCTAATAATATCATTATTATAAATTTTGTAAGTAATAATCTTCGTACTATTTCCACTCAAAGGCGTGGTCTGCAGTTTGGTTAAAAATCTCAGACAGCTCGAGCATCTATATTTACAAGTGCAGATGTGACATCAAAGGCGTGGCTTCTGAAGTTGAAACTCCAGAGTCACGTACCTAGCCACTAACCTTTCCTTAAGTTATGTAATAATTGTGTGCACCACCTCCTCATTTTCTTGAAATTACATTAACTTCCTCCCAATTATGTATAATTCTGTTTTACTACTCCCGCTATCCCATATTTTTTTGTCACTTCTTTAAAAAAAGTATTTTGATTGTGCTGTTTAAGTTTTTTTTCAAAATTCAAATTTTGAATTTGATTGTAATATACATATGAATAAAAGTAGAGATAACATTAAGAACAGAAACTAGAGATGGTTTTGAATTTGAGACAAATAGTTTAGAACTTTTGAAAATGAAAAGCATGACACTTATTGGAGGGGGAGTAAATACTAATCCAATTTACTTTGAAAAAATAACTTCTTCATTTTTGACTTGTTAAAAAGCATATACTAGAGCGATAAAAAACAAAACTAAAAAACAAATGATTAAACGAATTTCAAAAAGTGAACGGAACGAGGTCGTATCAGGTAAACAAATCGAAAACAATTGGAAACGACGTAGTTCCCTATCCAAAGCCAGCTCCCATATCTGTTGTCGTCGTCGATACGTGGATCGCTTGCGGTGCTCTGCAAAGGCTTTTTCCTGCTTTGCTTTTGAGTTTTCCATTTCCAGCCAATATTGGGAAGAGAGAGCTGCTGAAGTCTGCGCCATGGAGGGTGGAGGAAGAAGAAGACGATAAATTCGAAGACGCCAAGCTAAAAGTCACCAATCAGCCCGGTTCAACTCCTGTTATGCACGTCCCCGGCAAGAAGCTTTCCAAGTCCAAAAACGGCGTTGCTGATGACGGTGATGATTCGCTCACTGAAATGGACCCTGAACTTCGTTACAGCTTCCAGCGTAATTTCCAGGTTAGCCCATTTATTAGAAATTCCTTTTTGAAGACCCTTTACAATTTCCTGCTGTTAGGAGCTGTTTGAATGCCGACCCAGATTCTAATTAGTGGCGAATTTTGTGTTCTTTGATGACCCAATTCAAATCGTTTGCTGCTTGGGAATAAAAGTTAATTTTTTTGGCCGGAGTGTGCAACTTTTACTGCATTTGGTAGGACATGTTGATGCATGTGTTTGTTTTTGAGTTTGGGGATGAGTTTTTTTTTTTCCCTATTTTTGGCTGTAAATAGTGGCAAATTTTGTGCTTTTTGATGTCCCGTTTCAAATTCTTTGCTGTTTTGGGAAAAAATCATTTTTTTCCTGGAGTCTAGAACTTTTACTGCATTTGGTGCATGTGTTTGCCTATTTAATGGGGATACATTTTATTTGTTTATTTATCTATTTCTGTGATTGGCGGCAAATTTTTTTGTTTCTCGGTGACCCTTTCGATTTTGCTTGCTCTTTGGGGATAAAAAATTATAATTTTTGCTGGAGCGAAAGAATTTTAGTGCATTAAGAAAATCTGGCGCGTGCTTTGTAGCGGAATAAGTCATTTTTTGGTTATTAGTGATAAAGCTTGTGTTTTGAAGAGGGCACCTGATGAAATTTTCACTGTTGTCCCAGTCTTGATTTATCATAACTCTTCTGGTTGCTGGTGGGTCGTATTTTTGGGATTGGACAGAAAAAATCAAGCCTAGTTTTAGTTGGTGCTCTTGGTTTATTTCTTACAGAATTTGAGTACTGGTGCCCCGGTAAAGAGGGTTAGGGCAGCAGGAAAACTTGTGAGTATGATGTTATTCTTTAATTTGTTTTCCTGTTCACATAACAAATATACCAACTTTACCTTAGCTTGATTGTATCTTCCCCACTCTTTGCAACCTTATGGCATTGTTGGCGTCCCTAATATGTGTATGCTTACATGTTGTGCATAACTGGTTGAAGGACATATACGTGAGCAAGGGGAATTCAAGTAGCAGCCCTTGCCCTAGTGAGGCAGTTCTGTGCTAGCAGTTTAAGGTGATATAAAGCTTGTCAGCGAGCCTTAATGCACTTCTTTTTCTTTTGATCAGTTGAGTTGCTCCTGATAATCCAGTCCCCATCATGCCCTGTCGAGCTTCTGGGATGGGGCTTGGAGTTCTTTCCTTACCTCCTGCTGCTGAAAGTAACCTGTATGTGCACCTTATTGAGGGTTCATTAACTGGGAAGCAGCTTTAAGGGTTGTCCTTTTGATGCACGTGAAATCTAATTCAAATAGCACAATATTCTGTAGGGATATTTTGTTATTTAGTTAGTCATGCACTGAGCTATGCACTTTCAGTCTAATAACAAATTTAAGGAATAACTTTAAAACTAGCTCTTGCCATTTGTTTGATCTTTTAGCTCAAGTTTTGGAGGCACTTTTCTGGTTTTGAAGGCGAGTCTTCATTGGCTTAAGCCTTCAAAGCAAGAATTGTACTTCCAGATTATTAGTTAAAAGTAATCAAGCAAGTCTTAGGTCCTATCATTTTCTGCATTAGGTTTTCTTAAATTACTCAAACAAACGTGGCTATGACAAGCTGTTTAATAACTAAAGGGTCACTTCAATCTCCCTCTCTGCCCATTCTCACTTTACCCCTCTCTCTAAGTTGAATTGCTTTAATCTCTTTCACCATCTTTCAATTTTCTCCAATTTTTTACAATATTCACAACAGCCTCACATGAAATCCTAGTTTTGACATGTGCAATATATTACAAAGAGGAAACAACCTTATGAAAGAAAGCCTAACTTAACAGAACAAAAGGATTACCAATCACTGTCTTATTCTTAATTCAATTTCTCTCCAATCACAGCTTCATTATTGCCAATGTTAATTTTGCAATGCAGCTGTTCCAATTCACAGTTACCCTGTAAGATAGCAAGCTGAAAAAATTTATGTCTCAATAAGAAGCCGAAGAAAGGAAAAGCTATACTCGAAATGTGATGGAGGTGCAACTTGGGTGGTGGTGTGAGTTGGGAGGGTAGGAGGGAGGTATTTGCAGTTGGCAAATGGTATGGTCGTTAGGGAGTTTAAGAGAAAGGAGGGAATGGTAGGAGGAGGAGGTGGGTTTGGGTAAAAGTAGGATTTGGTTTTGTATGAAGTAAAGGTATTTGTGCTTTTCTTTGGACATAAACTGTTTGCATGCCTAAATTGAAATGACTTTGGGGTGACACTGGTAATTTTCATAATGTGGAAAAAACAAAAAGTGGTGGAGGGGATTGATACAGTTGAATCTTTACAGAGACAATGTGAGAATTGGGCAACTCTTTATGGCGGGATAATGCATTTAGCCCAAAAAAAAACATGTATTTTTGTTTAAAAAAGTTTCGGGAAGCCCTTAACATCTCCTTAGGAACCCGACTTCTTCTTTCTCCATTTCCTTTTTATTCTTGTGTTACTATTTTCCTTTCTTTCTCAAAGTACCTCCACTCCTCTCTATCATCCTTAAAGTCTCATCTTTAGTTCTTCCCACCATGCACCCCATTCAATATTGATGCAAAACTGCTAAGGCCCAACTCTTGTAGTACTAGTTCTAGTATTGTAGTCTTCCACTTCCATGGCCTTCATCTCATCTTGTCCATTTGAATTCTCCCTGTTCTTCTTCTTCCTCTGCTGGTATATCTTGGCTTGGCCAGTAGTCCTAGTTCTAGTTAACCTTTGATTTTCTGTTGGTGAACCGAATTGTCATATTTTGCAATGGCTAGCAGTATTGTGTGCTCGTACCAATTTCAGATGAACTTCAGCGCTCTAACCTTGAAATGGGTGTAGCTTGCATATCTCTTAACCTAAATATGAGTCTCTGGTGTGCTAATAAGTGTCTTTGTGGACTGAGAGGGAAATAAATGTCTTCGCTGGGCAGTTGTGAAATCACATGGTTCTGTTTCAGTGCAGGAATTACCAATGAAGGGGCATGTAATCTGGGTGCAACACTTCTTTTTTTGTTTTTTCCCTAATTATCTGCTTTCCTTCCATTATTGTGGGATCAGACTATTCAATGGATTGTGGGATATTTTGGGACTCAATTGTTTTCTCTCTTTTTCTGCTTCGCTTCCTTGCTTTTGGGGTTTAAGATCTTTAAGTTTCATGCTGTTTGTTTATCTGATGTACTGTGGGAATTCCAGAATGATTAGGTTGCAATTTCTTGTGGACAGTATCCTTTTCAGGGATGCCTTGGATGACCCCGAATGACATGAGAATTCATTCTCTTGTGTCTTTGGACATCTCTGTCTGTGTTCCTTTCTTGATGATAGATAATACTCTGCAGGGATTCAAATTGTATGGTAGGCGAAACGGCCAAGCCTTTGGAATTCTATCATGATATTCTGCATCCAATCTGGAAACTTGGTTTTGCATGTGAAGCACCTGCTTTGTGTGTTGCTTGACATGCTGTAGAGCAGATTCAGATTAGTTTGAATGTTAAAAGGAGGACAGGCAAGAAAGATGCATGTATGACTTCTCACTATATTTGGTGAACTCCGTCCACTTGGGACGGGGGCATCGGCTGTTAATTTCATTTAGCAAGTTGTACGGCTATTAGAACCTTGCAATACTAAATTCCCTGATGCTTTTAGGCTTTTTGTGCCAAGATACAGATATCAACTTTGATTATGACAGCTTTTTGGTGTAGAATAAGGCAGTGCACCAAAAAAAAATAATTGGGGCCTTGAAAAGCACTAGTGATGAGATGACAGTTTACAGTTTGTAGAGATTGTCCCCCAATAATAAAAGCAGTTATGCTTTTTAAAGTTTGTCATTAAATGAACTTGCATCTCTTTTTCTGTTTGCAGTTTCTTCAGCGTGTATTCAGCATGGATACTCTTGTGAAACCTTTTCCTCCTGCAATGGGGGACTATGCCTCCCACAACTTGAATTTCTTCACTCGCATCTTTAGCCAATTTTTCGGTAAGCATGCATGCTGCACTTTTTGGCGCTTAAATAAAGTTCTGCGGTCAGGGAGTATGTATACATTATCTCTTTATGTGTTTGGTGTCCTCTACTCTCCGCATTACATGGTCACTTTTTTTTTTCTTGGTAATATACTATGCTTTGTAACCCCCCCCCCCTTCCTTCCACCCCAAGAGGAAATTTAAATAATAATTATAGGATTAATTTTTTATTCACTGACAGTATAGTGATTTTCTTACACTATCAGCTTTGGATGTATGCCACATGTGCATGTTTTGAATTTCAAATTTGAATTCATGTTATGTGGCGTGATCTAGACCTACTAGTGTAAAAAAAAATATATATATATATATATATATGTGTATATATATATACACACACACACACACATTGATAGTGTATAAAAAAGTTATCCATAATTATATTCATGTATGTTCTTACTTTTTTTTTCTTCCACTTTATTGAATAATATGCTTCTATCTAGTCTACTCCTCCCTCCTCCTACCCAAAGAGGAAAAGCAAAAGAAATATGGATAAAAGATAAAATAGGTCCAGCTGGGGATTGTGGGAGTTGCCAGTTATTCATACATCTGATGCCCCTCGAGTGTGGAACTGGGAGAATGGTCAAATGCACAAGACTGATCGTTCAAATGCTGGCTCAGCATGGCAACTAAATTAGGCATTACTAACCAATAAAGTCGTGCCATCTGGTGTCTGGCATCCAAAATTGCAGAACAGTTCGAGAATTGGTCATGAGATTCATCTAAAGTTTTTATTTTATTGTTTTAATGTTTTGGATTGCATTTCCTTTTATATTGCAAGAAGCATAAGATACACAATTTTATTAGTCCATAGTTGACAGTTCTGCAATTGTTGTATCCTCTTATTTCATTTCCATTACCAGTATTTTTTGAAATGGGAAAAAGTGAAGTTTGTGAAATAGGCTAAAGTGAACTATTAGGCAGGGGAACAATAAAGATAAGCAATTACTGCAACATAGAATTCTTTGTGTTTACTTTTGGTCCTATGTCAGCCTTGCTTTAGTTTGCTATTTTTATTCTTTAGGCAGTTTTTATGTATTTGTTTCTCTAAATGAGCCTTTTTCAGTCACAGTGAAAAGAGAACTTTTGGTTTCCCATCAGTCCGTTTGGTAAATTTGGGCAAGCAAGCTACCTTCTGTTCGTTTCTCCATTTCTCATTCATTTGCATTGACTTGATAATTTTGTTTCTGCAGATAATGAAGATATTGCAGCTGCTCAGAAGTCTCTTGGAATAGGACAAGAAGAAAAAATCCGTAAAGTTCGATGACCTTCCTATGTTTGAATAAGAATGTTCTCAATCTTCAACTTCGTAAAATGACTAATGTAGTTCAGGACCTCAAGCAAATTTGGATTCGTGATGTATTATTACCACCTGTTCCATTAATGCTTAATTCTAACGTCACACACATATAGGCCAGAGAATTTGCGTCCTGAATAGCTGTTTCGTGCAACCATCTGTTAACTTGTTCAGTTTTTTGTGAAATTGCTTGTTTTGATTAAACGAAAGCAGGTCTAGGCGAAACTTGATGACTGCATAGACTCTCGAGGGTTGTTACTGGATGCCTAACCATTACTGGATCCCACTTGCTAATGCCACATTCTGAAAGGAATTCCTCATAATCACGCTCAAGCTCACTGTAATCCTGACTAAGATCTTTGGTATTGACGTGATCTTCATCCTCTGATGCGTACTGCAAAACAGCTCAAGTTTTCTCAGTAGGTTGAAGATCAAGGTACGTTCAAAGTGCATGTTTCAAAGCCAGAGAACTTTCAAGAAAAGGAATACTTTTGGTGCCTTAGAGCTCAGGTCTTGAACCCAAAATAGTATAATGTACGTTCAATCTATGCTTTTGACTTTTTATGCCATCGCAGTTTTCCAACTTTTTTATGCTATCACAGTCTTATGGAGATGATAAAATCATTTATAGGAAAACCTGCTAGTTGATTGATGTTGATCCCACATTTATATGCCAGAAATTAACGGGTTAAACCAGAGTATGCTGAAGAATCAATTGCAGGAACAGCAAAACCAGAGTATGCTGAAGAATCAATTGGAGGAAAGTACAAGATTCGACATCATAAGTTCAACTCAATCAGGTACTTGCATCATAGTCGGGTCTTGTGCCAGTATCCAGTGCATCTGGATCCTTCAAATGCTGAAGAGCAAATTTCCACCTGATTCTTTTAGATCCATGGTGATGCTCTTCTGATTCATTTACATTATGTTTCATATCTCCAGCAACTCTATTGCATAAGGCACCAATTATGCATCTGATGCAAAAGGCTATCAGGGGAACCAGAACTAGAAAATAACCAGTGCTTTTAGCCTGATAATAAAATTGACAAGTCTGTTGAGCCTGTTACTAAATTTTGGTACAATGTGCACATTGATCAGCTGAATATGACCAATCAACAAAGTAATTGAAAAGGCAATATAGTTCCAATAAGCAATGCTCAGATAAGAGAAATGACAAACAGTTTGGCAAAGCAACATGGCACGCTAGAAGAAGTGCTCACATAGGATAAATTATGAACGGACAAGAAACTGAACATTTTCTGGTTCAAGCAGCTACTAAACAATTCCAGTCTTGAAGTTCTTTCATCAAGAGAAGGGTCAGATGATAGGGCTCGCTCACTCTTTTGCTGCCAACAAAAGAACATACGTATCGTGAAGGAAGTCAGCTTTAAAACTTCAGCAAACACCAGGAATGCAAGTATTCTATGGCAGTTAAGACTGTAACATCAGCAGAACTTTTTTTTTCTTTTTTGATGTACTCGCTTCTGTTTTTTTCTTTTGTTGTTCCAATTTGCTCAACAATTATATGTATGAGAATAAGATGTGAGCTAACATTTGAATTCTAGAAATAACATCAGACTTGCCTTCTGACCAACTTAGCCTAGCATTAAAGCTTTTGGTGATCCACACAAAAAGCTATAAATCCAATTGAAATGTTATTTAACTACTGTCCAGAACTTTTTTTCTAGTTTCATAAAACTAAATCCCTTTTGGGTAGCAATATTCAATGAAATAATTTAGTACCAGTGATCACTTCATGATAGAAAAATAAAGGAATTCTAAGCTCAAGGTCAGGACCCAGGTTGGTAGTTGCAATAATCAGACTCATTAAAACCAACCATGAAGAGACAACACGCAATCGAAAAGAATAGTGGACTTAAAACCATTTACCATTTGCAAAGGTACTGCAGTGGATAAGGGAATGTTCAGATGTTGGCCCTCAAAAACGGACGAGGGCCTCTGACGGTTCAAAAATTTGTGCGGCTCAAAGACAACCGTCCCAGGCTTACGGCCTGGACGAGACCTCAAAAATTTATGCGACTCAGATCACGTTTTTTAACTCGATTTTTACCTCGTGTGGAACCCACAAAAAAGTTGTTCTATTTTACTCGCTGTTGTTCAATTATTACACCTTGTACAGATGATGTTAAACCATATACAAATGATGTTACACCTTTTGGAACGGTTGTTCTGACAACCGCTCCAGCCCCAGAACAACCGCTCCAGCCCCGCGTCCCTCAAAAACAAGGTCAACATCAACAATGTCCTTATTAGCAGCAGCAATTTCATAAATGGCTACCCCATATAGCTTTGAAATGGAAGTCAAAGTTTCACCTCTGCAAATTTAAACCAACAAAATTCCCAAGGTAGTTAAGCACGCAGTATCAATAAAAAAGATCCCATCTTTATTCCAAAAAGCTCAAAAGTTCGCAAATTAAAAACACACACACACACAGAGACACACAAACGCATGCAGGTTTAAGCATTTTCTTACTCTTTGACCACATGTTTAAGCATTGAGTGCCGACCCTTTGAAGACATCCCCCGTATTTGACACCTCCATCTCTGAAAATGACAAAAACCCAGAAATTGTTTTACCCCTGTATCTGACATTTTTTTCATGAAATTACAATCACAACAAACAGAAAAGGATACGAAGAAGAAGAAAGGAATATTACCTGAGCATGCAAATGAAAGTTCTTGTGATTAGAAACTTTTCTGCTAACTTTTACTAACACAGAAGATCTTATTACTACTAAGGTTCTTGGAAGCGATGATTGGCTCAACTTAAATTCCATTGACTATTAATCATAATTTTTCTGGTTGATGATTAATATATCATACACTGTGGACAATTTCTTGTTCCCGGATAAGAAAAGGCGCGATTCTGAGAAGGCACATTTATTCCTGTGGACCAAAATGGGCTTAAACTGTACAAACCAGTGTCCTTGGGCCACCAATAGGAGGACTGCTCAAAAAGATACGAAAAACTCCTCTTTTTTTTTTTTAAAAAAATTAAGGTTAAAATTGAATACATATTGTTCAACGGGTTAATTTGGAACTCCCGAAGAAAAAAAAAAAAGGAATAACCTAATTGGATTCTCAATTGGTTCCAATACATAGGTGAAAGGACTCTTATAAATACTCAACTCATAAATATGTATACCCGTAAATTAATGTAAAATGAACAAAATGTATCATGACGGGCCAAAAAAAAAAAAATGTATCATGATCTTGAATATTGACATTAATTTTGGTGATTTAAGTGGAACTGACAATTTATTCACATAGTACTTTTAATGTATAAGAAGTTAAAAAGGGGGTATGAGGGCAACCCTTGGGCACGACTGAGCACCCGACTGGAAAGGAGGAAACATGCACAGGCAGTGTCTTGGAAACGGCCTCCGGCACACCATGTCAAGTTGAATACGGACGCTAGTGTCTCTCACAATCGTGCTTTTGGGGGTGGTTTACTCCGAGACTTTGCGGGTCGCTTAATCTTTGTGTATTACAAGGAGTTTGGGGAGATGGATGTCTTGTTGGCAGAAAGTTCATCTTTGCTACATGGTCTCCAGCTGTGTAAGGAGCTAGACATGGGACCCCTGCTGGTAGAGGTAGACTCTAAAAGTCTGGTAAGTCTGATTGATTAATGCGGGAGCGACGTCCCGGTGGCCCCTATGCAATATGTTGAGGCACATACGGGAGCTGCTTTCCTCATTTTCAGCCTCTGTAACACACATTTTTAGGGAGGCGAACTCTTCAGCAGAAAAACTCGCCGGATTGCGATTGTCATCAAAGTTATTCTGCATTTCATTTCAACAACTTCCGAATCTAGTGCGAGCATCAATAGTCTTGGATAGCCGGGAATTTTCTTCCTTGCGGTGGCAGGCTGTAGGACAGTAGTTCAAAGTATCTGGAAGATGTCTAAAGCTCTATGTATGCTGTTGTTTTGCCAATAAAATCGTAGTTTTTGATTAAAAAAAAAAAAGGGTCCCAAAATGTCATTTCTCATTCAAAATTTAGTTAGCTTAATGCCTTTTTATATTTACTTTTTTTTTTTAGAAAAAAAGGTTGTATAGGTTCGACTTTGATCATCACTACAGATCAGGACATGCCTCCAATACTGTAGGTCACTTATAAAATTCTTACAAATTATGTACTAACACAGTTCTTATTTCGACAGCAAGATGTGAGCACACAACCTTCATATTTACTTATAGCTTCCAAAGATAAAAACAAAAGTTTGCAAATAGATATTTGTCTCGTAGAACCGATCCAATAGTGACTAATTATGAACGTCTAAGACAAACACGATCTAGTAAAGTCAACCTGTTACACGAAACTTACTGTTGTTGTTATTCATGTTATGATGTATATTATAACAAGGTTATCCAAATAATGCATATTAAAAAAAAAAAAAAAAAAGAAAACAAGAAACCTTGTTACAATAGTTTAAGATTGTTTACTTTGGTGGAGGAGGAGGCTTTGCACAAAACATGCGACACTGGCATCGGCTTTCAGGAGGTTTAGCCTGATCACATCAACAGTTTCGAGAGGATCTGGATGGAAACTGATGTCGAATTCCCATCATCTCCATATTTATCGTAGTGTTGATATTTGAAGGGAAAGCTAACGAGCCAATGGACTGGAATACAGGAAAAAGAAAAAAAGATTCAAGCCATTAGAATTATCATGATTATACACGTTATATATAATATGAATATTTGCCCTTGTGAACGTTTGTAGGTACAAGATTTAGGATCATTAAATCATTAAAGAGAGTGATATTATTAGCGTTTTGATGCATAGAAAGATTGAACAAGTAAAATAGCTAGTATTAAGGGTGAGTGTTTAAAATTGAGTTTGTTAAGATAAAAAAGAAATTTAAGGGCTTTTGAGAAACATATATAGATGGAGAGGCTAGGTGAGAAGCTGACCAATATCATCAATAGCTGACGAAGGCGACTTAGCAAGAGTTCCATTGAAAGAAGGGGAAAGCACGAAAGAGTCCTTCATTTTTGTTGTTTTGGATCTTTCGTATTGGAATTCCTTAGGCTCTGATTTGCTCCATCGCGCTTGTGGCATCATTTTATAGTGCAAAAAACTAATTTATGAAAGTAGGAAAGTTTCGTTGCCATTAGTGATTTGTTTTGCAATCAAAGGCTTACCATAATAGCACATGAAAGAAGGGCAAATCTGCATTGATCAAAGATGTCTTAATTTATTGAAAATTCACATATTAAAAAAAAACTTGCATCATAGGTCTATAATAATTGTACCATATGGCATAATAGTCATATATTTGCCATGCACCTAAAGTACTTATATAGCACATGTTGTATATTCGCCAAAAAAACAAAAAAAAAAAAAATTGTTCATGTGACATAAACCTCGTTGGGAGATTCAAAACATGTTCAAAGAATTTTGGAAGGGTAAAAATCCACTTTTCGTTCCCAAAATTTGGGTTAGGAAAAACATATTTCATCTACAAACTTTGTGGTGCAACACATTTAGTATATGAATTATCAATTTCTGAATACATTTAGTTCAGAAACGGCAAATTAATCAATTTGGGCAGAAAAGGGGCACATGAGGGAAAAAATTGCTCACTTAAAACCAATAAAATTCAATGCAAAGTTTAACTCTCCCTTTCTTTTGTACCTTTCCTCTTCAGATTTTCCTTTTTCGCTACCCATTCAAATCCACAATTAGTAGAGCGGAGAAATTAGTTTGATTAAGGCCACCCAACATGGAGAAAATGTCGCTTCGGAAGAAAGCCATAAACAGCAACTGGTAGTTTCTTTTTTCTTTATCTTGTACATTCATTATCGACAGTTTAAAACTTTTCTTTTATCTTACCTACTCTTACATTATATACTTTGAGGGGTGAGCATTCGGTGCAAAGCGGTAATTCGGTTATATGAATTTTGGTAAATTTGGTTATTGGACTTATAGAAATTTAAACTGTTTTCAAATTCGAATTGGGGATACCCAAATTCATTTCACTTCTGAATTTGAATTCGAAAATGGTAATGAATTCGGGTTAACTGTTTTCATTAAAAAAAAAAACTGCTGAAGCCTTTAATTGCAATTTCTAGCCTAATTAAACCCTGTTATCAAGTTTGACAGCTACACTGCTACTATTGTCAAGTTTAATTGCAATTTCCAGCCTAATTTTCAGATTGATTTGGGAATTGGGAATTGTGATTTGGGAATTTGGAGTCCTACACTTTTTGTTTTGGTAACATGAGTTAATTTGCGAATTGTGAAGGCAGTGATTTTGTAATTTTTAATTTGTGAACTGGGGCACTAAATTATCATACATTCATTATGCTCCTCAATGATTTAAAAATTATTGCCGATTTGATTCCCAAATTTATTCATATTTAACACATTAGTCATGTTCTAATCATTCTGTAGTTTAATTAGTATTCATTTGATCACATGTACCTAGTTATATCCTGAATCCTTGATCAATGATTTAAGGAACAAATAAAAAATGATTAATTTAAACTAGAATACACCTTAGACTGTACAATGATTAGTAATAATTTACAAACTTATAATTTACAATGATAAATAATAAGTAATATTAGTTACAAATTTACAAATTACAATGATTAGTGATAAGTGATATTAGTTACAAATTTATAATTTACAATAATTAGTGATAAGTCACTAAATCACAAACTTATAATTTATTTCAAATCAAAATACAACTTACTTACTTATGTTATTGAATAGTTGTATACACAATATCACTTATTCATTTATAAATTACAAATTATGTAATGCATTACACTTACATTTATTCTTATTTCTTATATAGCTTTTTTGGAAAAATTTGCAAATGACTTAATTGTTTTTAATAGTGAAAGCCAATATACTACTATGTTGATGTGCAATTCATATGCATTCACCTAGATAGCTTAGTTGTCTTGTCTATGCTTAAAGCCTTAAAATTAGTGAATAGAGAATATGAATTTATATGTTAAATATGTAATATAATTTTAGAGCACACTAATACTTGCAAGTTACAAGTTACGTATTCAAATGTTCAATAATTCAAACATGAATGATGTACCAAACTGCCAATATCTAAATTCTAATTACTAATTATGTTTATTGTTTAATATTTAGTATTATACCTATACTTATTAATTATTATCTAATTCTAGTCATGTATAAAAGGAGAAGTATTATAGTTATGTTATGTATTGTTGTATATTCATATTATTATAATCATAAGTACATGATAATACCATATACTAACTATTATTAATAGCATTTAGGTATATAATATAATAATATTTTATTAGTATATACTAATACTAAATAGCATTTATCTATATATTATATAATTTTATAACTAATTTGGTATTCGAATGCGGTAATATGATACCTATTTCATCTTACCGAATTTGAATTCGAAATCAGTTATTACCAAATTTATAATCTCATTATCTATTTCATACCATATTAGAATTTGATGAATTTGGTAAATATTGCTTTTGTACCAAATTATCAAATACCTGATTTCAAATTATCAAATTGAGTTTGAAATCGCGTATGAATTCCGTACGTACTGAATTTGCTCACCCCTATATACTTTCCCTATCTAATCTTACCTATTCTCCCTTGTTTCTATTTACTTTTCTTAGTTTTTTTTGGGTATTTCAACGACTGATATTGCTGCTGCATGAAATGGAACCGGAGAAATTGATTAAAGAGTGTGTTCACAACTTCCTTTTGGTTGCACAGTCTATTGTACCAAGTTGTGTCCGTATTCATCTGTTATGCCAATGATTATTTAGGTTCACATTAACCC